CGGCATCTACACGCGTGCGATATGTCGAGGGACGCAAAGCGGCAGCCATAGCAGTGGCAAAAGCCAAGGCAGATTCCTGGGAGAAGTTCGAAAATTCGAATTTCCGCAGGGCAACATGGTATTCTGCCAGACCATCTGCCGGCTCCTAGGTGAAAAAAGGGAAATCTAAGATTCTTGAAAGACAGGTCTGGACACCCTCTCACCAAGGATGATGACATTCTTCGGCGATGGAGGGAGTACTCTGAGGAACTCTTTAAGCCCACGCAGCCGCAGGAAAACTGCCTGCAGAGCAGAAGGGTACGGATATTACTGTCTCTGTAGATAAAATTGCACAAGCTGTTAAAACCTTGAAATAATGGAAAGGCTTCTGGAACTAATGAATAGCTGACTCTAAGATTCAAGAAGCGCAGTGTGGCTTCCAGGCCGGTCGAAGCACCTCTCACCATATATTTTACATGCGCAAGATTGTTGAGAAATCGTGGGAAAACGGCCGTCCGGTGTACATGTGTTTTGCTGACCTAGAAAAAGCCTATGACCCGATCCCATGCAACAGTCTGTTGCCATGCCTGCGAGCATACGTAATATATGGCCAGCTGCTAAGAGCCATCCAGTCACTGTATTCTGACAGAAGGTGCTACGTTAAAGTAAATGGCGTTAAGTCAAAGTCCTTCAACGTTGGCCCTGGCCTCCACCAAGGCCGCCTCCCGTCTCCTCTGCTGTTTGTATTGTACCTGGATAAGATAGTCAGGATAATAGCCAAGGTTATGGAAATATCGGTGTAGAAGGTGTGAAGATGAGAAGGCTGCTGTCTGCAGACGATCAGGTTTTATTGACATGTTCTGAAACTGATCTACAGTGCTCCCTAGAAAGATTCACATCTAAAACGAAAAGCCTAGTGTTTTCTCGTTCTTCTGCCCGTTGCTCTCTTCAGATTAATCGAGAGGCAGAAGAGCAGGTGGAGAAGTTCAAGTACCTCGGAACTATATTTACTAGTGATGGAAAGTTGGGGGAAGAGATCGACCGGCGAATTGGTGTAGCCAGTGGCGTTCTGCGTGAACTAGCCCGACCCACTGTGACTAAAGCAGAGCTCGGTCTGAAAACTAAGCTCTCAATATTCAAGTCGATGTTTATCCCCATACTTACCTACGGTCATGAATCATGGACCATCACTGAAGTGCTTCGAACGCGCATACGAGCTGTTGAAATGGGCTCTTTAAGACGAGTCGCTGGTCTTACGCGTTTCGACATATTGCGGAATACTGACATCCGGGGGAACCTTAGTGTAAAGGGTTTGCTTTTACAGTTTGAGAAGTCACAACTGCGATGGTTTGACCATGAGTTGCGAATGCTCCAGAGAGGAAGGCTATGCAACTGTTTCTTGCGTAAGCTACCGGCAGAAGGTCCTGGGTCGGTCATGATTATTCTGGTTCTAATATATGGAAGGAGTCTGTTGCGGACTCCAGTCGTCTTCTTCCGAAGGTAAGACTCTGGCACAGGATCGGGAACGTTGGAAGCTCCGTCTGACGCGCCTGTCTCCGCAACCCGAAAGGAAAAGCGGCCATGGATGATGAAATAATGAATTATTAAGGTTTTACCTGTGTGGTCACTGAAGCAGAATAAAATGGTTTCCAATATGTGATTCATGCCAACGACCAGAAGTGATTTACATTAAAGGCAATGTGTATAGCTGTAAAATAACAAGTACAGCGTGTTCTCTTCAGAGGTGGTTGAAGATCAGTAAAATCTGTGATTAATCGATGACGAAAAATTGCGCAACCAGGGTTGACAAAAAAACATGAAACTCGCCCAGGTACATTATTCATTAGGATTGAAACTGGGACCCACATGTCTTGCTTGCCTGTTCGTGGAAGAGTAGACGCATAATTTCAGCTAATATCTGGTAGGCGAGAAAGCTCGCTGGTCGTTAAGATTAGCTGATGTCACAACCAATGTGTTCCATTCGCTTGTATCTAACAAGCATTTGGCGGACTATATTAGTTTGTGCACAAACCCTTAGCTCATTCTGAATTACAGCAATAAATCCTTTAAGTTGAACCGTGTCAATCACTGAAGTAACTGACTCTGCACTTGAATGTAATCAAATCCGCGATGGGCTCATCTCCCTTTTAGTCTGAACCCAGTACCAAGGCCATTAGCCCTTAGCATTGGTACTAAAAAACAGAAAATAAAATTTACTGGCTAAAGTAGTCCAGTATGCAGGATGATTCTTTGCTGATTGGCATCCACAGTTGATGGATGCCAGCTAGCTTACGAGCTATCAGGCGGGAGATGTCGGGACGACGAACTTCTTTGTGTGTAACAGGTCGAGCCTTAAAACAGCCGTGTATCGTAAACAGTATAAAAATCAAAATCTAATACTTATAGCAATATAATGCAAAATGGCCACACAAACAAGGCTCCACATAGAAGGTCAGCAAAAGATGAGAGAAAACAAGAGTAACATTAACGTTAAACTTTATATTTATATATATTTCACCGATTTTCACTTAATAGGACCA